ATGAGAGGATTGTCCAGAATGCTATTATTCAAACGATTGGTGAGTAGGCTCGCTTAAAATTCCTCCCCTTCTCCCCCTTCCTCAACGAGATGGTATTGAAACAGCTTGAATCAAAAAGGGATAATGGCAAGCGTGGTATCTCTGATTGTACTTGCCTGTAAATCTCAGGCTCACTTTATGTATTTGACTTCTGAAAGACCGTTCTTTTACTTGCTAACTAAGCAGATAGCCAATGAAAATTAAAAATGCTGGTGGACTTACAGTAAATTTGTTGCTTATGTTATTATATGACCCTTGAAATATAGACATCATTCTGTACATTTGGTACAGAAGTAATGTTAGGCCTATGAAAATCATATTGCAAGCAATCCTGTACAGTAATACAGTGTAGCAGGTACTATTTGAAAATTGTGGAAACCAACGTTAAACATAGTGGCAACAATGACACCTAATGGCCGGTTGTGCTACCCACGACTTAACTGAAGTACTTTTAAGCACAATCCTGAAAATGAGAGCAACAATTTCTGTAAACTCTTTCGTTAAAATAGGCTCTCCCCTTCTTTCAGATTTTCTCTTTATGGTAGCAGTATTATATATTGCAGTGCATTTGTGATGTGTCTTTGCTTAAAGAACAAGGGGGAATGGAACTTAAATGTTGTTCACTGATATGTACCTTTGCTCGTGCCTTGAAGCTTTCTAGAACAGTAGCAAAGAACTACTGGATTATTTCTCACTAGTACAGTAAAACTCCAGGTTAAAATGTTAACACCTCTCCCCCCCTCAAAATCCCAAAAAAAATGCTCAACCCAACCTTTTCAAGCTTCTTGCTATCAAAGTTACGTTTATACTATTGCACAGATGTGAAATAGAATAGACTATCTCAAGTTGAAAGGGACCCCTCGGGATCACCAAGTCCACCTCCCTGCTCCTCGCAGGACTACCTAAAGCTAAACCATATGACTAACAGTATTGTCCAGACACCCTTTGATCACTGACAGGCCTGGTGCCTTGACCGCTTCCCTGGGGAGCCTGTTCCAGAGACCGACCACCCTCTCAGTGAAGAACCTTTTCCCAGTGTCCAATCTGAACTTCCCCTGGTGCAGCTTCATTCCATTTCCTTGGATCCTGTCACTGGTCACCAGGGAGTGGAGATCAGCACCTCCCCCTCTGCTGCCCTCCTTGAGGAAGTCGTAGACTGCAATGAGGTCACCCCGCAGCCTTCTCTTCTCCAAGCTGAACAAGCCAAGTGACCTCATCTGCTCTTCAGAAGTCCGTGAGGCCTTTCACCATCTTGGTTGCCCTCCTCTGGACGCACTCTAAAGCCTGATGTCCTTCTCATTAAGATAAGAGGCGGAGAGGGCATTAAACATCTCTGCTTTGTCTGCGTCCTTATTTGTGGGGTGCCTGACCTCATCAAGCGACGGACCAGTGTTATCTCTGATCCTCCTTTTGCCGTTAACGTATTTTAAAACGTCCTTTTTGTTGTCCTTCATGGTGTTGGCCAGCTTGAACTCTAATCAAGCTTTGGCCACACAAATTTTCTCCCTATGGTGGTGAACAGCATCTCTGTGTCCTTCTGTGTCACCTGTCCTTGCTTGCCATGTCCATACAAGTGCCTTTTCTGCCTAAGTTCTAGAAGAAGAGCCCTGCTCAGCCAAGCCAGCCTTCTCCCCCCATTGCTTGACTTCTGACACTTTGGAGTTGCTTACTTTGATGCTCAAGAGATGCCTCTTAAAGTGACCAGCAGTCACAGACCCCAATACCTTCAAAAGCAGATTCCCAGGGGACCTTACTAACTATCATCTTCAGCAGCCCGAAGTCTGCTCTCCCTGTATCCAGGGCTGAAGTTTTGCTGGCAGTTTTTCTCCTATCACCAAGGATTTGAAACTCAACTACTTAGTGATTACTGTGACCAAGACGACCACTGATAACCACTTTGCCCATGAGTCCCTCCCTGTTTACCAACAGCAAAGCTGGGAGAGCACCTTTCCTAGTCGGCTCCCTTAGTTCCTGCACCAAGAAGTTATTTTCAACGTGCTTCAGGAATTTCCTGGATGTGTTTGTGTCCTCTGTATGATATTCCCAGTTGATGTCTGGGAAGTTAAAATCGCCCATAAGGACACGGGCAGCTGGTCTAGAGATATCCCTTAATTCCTTGTGGAACAATTCATCAGTGTTGTCATCCTGGCTGGGTGGTCAACTGTAGAGTCCCACAACATCTCCTTTATTTTCTTTCCCCTCCATCCTTACCCAGAGGCTCTCAACCGTGTCCTTGCCAACTGTAAGCGCCGCAGAATCCAACTCCTCCCTTACATACAACGGCGCCCCCCTGCCTTGCCTGCCCTGCCTGTCCCTCATGAAAAGCCTACAACCATCCATCGTGGCACACCAGTCACAGGTTTCACTTGTGTCAATGATGTCATAGCTCTGGGACCACGCAAGCTTTTTGGCCTCTCTTGTTTATTCCTCATGCTGCGTGCGTTAGTACAGCGACATTTCAAAGGTGTTCCAGTGTACTCAGCACAGCGTGGAGCAGACTGAAGGACCTCGGTGGGACACCATCCCTCAAACATTAGCCTGCCGCCCCCAGGTTGTCTCTAGCAAGCCTGGTTGTATCACTTTCCTCCTTCAAATCTAGTTGAAAGCTCTTTCAATGAGCGCTGCTAACTCCTGTACAAAGATCCTTTTCCTCCCTTAAGACAGGTGTACCCCATCTGTCACCAGCAGGCCTGGCGGTGTGGAAACCGACCCATGATCAAAAAACCCCAAATTCTGCTGGTGACACCACGCCTGGAGCTAGGTATTGATTTGCTGGCTCTTCCTGTTTCTTCCCTCGTCGTTCCCTGCAACTGGAAGGATAGAGGAGAGCACTACGTGTGCTCCTGATCCTTTAACCAGTCATCCCAAGGCCCTGAAATCTGTCTTGATGGTGCTGGGGCTTCTTGTTGCAACTTCATTGATGCCTCCATGAAAAAGCAATAATGGATAAAAATCTGAGGGCTGTACCAGAGTAGGAAGCTTTCTCTTCACATCTATAACCTGGGCCACAGGGAGGCAACAGGCTTCCCAAAGACGTGAGTCCGTTCAGCGTATTTGGCCCATTCAGAAAGCAGTCCTCCTGTGACAAAGACCCATCTCTTTTTCTTTATGGAAGTGGTTTTGACACGGGGCGTAGCCTGATTTAACCTCAGCAACACCTCCAACGTAGGTGAACCTCATCCTTGTTCGGTTCCACTTGCAGAGCCTCGCACCTCTTACGCAAGGGCACCTGGGAAGGTGGGGTAGTCGTGGAGGAGACGCCTGCTGTGCTGGGCAGGAACCTGTCCCCATTGCCCCCCATCCCTTAAGTCATCACGTTCTGCTGGCTGGGGAGAGGACAGGGGATCTTCTGTATCATGCGTCCTGTCTGCCTGACAGGTCTGTCCCAGGGATGGTCGGCTGGGGTTCCAGCAGTCTGTCTGTCTGTCGCTCTCTCTCACACTCCCTGATATTCCTCAACCTCCTCACCTCTCCCGGAGCTCCGTCACTGAGCGGAGGAGTTCCTCTCCTTGGGCACCTCCCGCAGGGCTGCTCACTGCTGCCGTCAGTGCTGCCCCGAGAGCCGGGCACCCCCTGCAGCCGGGCACCGGGGCTCTGTCTGGGCAGCTGTGTCCGTCACGGTGGGTGCAGAGTTTAGAGAGGCTGCGGCCTTCTGCTGGGTGGACTGTAAAGCTGTTCAGCAGAAATGTGGGTATTATGCCCTAAAGCAAATCATAGTTTTATTCTTCATTTGTTTTGACCTTGTTAATATATTCCTTGTATTTATAAGGCTTTTCTTATAAAGAGAAGGGCCTTATATCTCTTCCCATCCGTGATTTCATTCCATTTTTATTTAGGATTTTTTGGAAGCAATCTCCCAGATTACCAGAGATCAGAGATTATGATGTTCATTATGGGAAAAGTACCTGTTTTGGGGACAACTTCACAATCACTGGATACCAGTCATCTTGGGTTTGTATATCCTACATTTTTTACTTTCTAATTAAAAATGTAGATTTTTAGAATCCTGATTAATTAAGAAGTGAAAACCTTAAGAAAAGTCAAATGCAAGTTCTCGCTTATTGGGGGCTGTATTAAATACTGTGACAGAATCAAGACAAGCACAGTGTCAGCCCTGTGAAATCAATCTCCAGACGTGTTACTGACAGGAAACGCCTGATTGGAATGCAACTTATTTTGCACTAAACCATTTCTTCTCTCCACATCTTTAAAAATGTTTCTGAAATTGTCTACTTCATGGTGGTTAATTCCTTAACTTTATATGTATGTTTTGTGAATGAGGGAAATTGGACTGTGACTGCCTTTTTTCAAATAGCTGCATAATTTACAAATGGGTTTTAGTTTTTCTTCATTCTGTACAAGATGATTTCAGAATAAGAAATAAACTGCAGAAATTCCAGTGAATTTGTTTTGGTTTAGATTTTCCCTATTTATTTAGAAATAGGAAAAAGCTATAGGTGGGCAGACTCTGTAATAAACTCACGATTAAAAGTCTGCTGTACACCCAAGTAATATTTTTTCCCTGTGACATGAATAACTACGATTAAAGATTGCTTTTCTTCAGTGTGGTGAAAGCCACTGAAAAGGCTGCAGCTGTTCTTTCCAGGTATGCATGGGTACTTTGTCCCACCTATGTCTGGTCCCCTGCTAGCTTCAGTAGGAGGTTGTTGTCATTCTCCTGGCTTCTTGGTGGCTTTTCCTATAGTATTGTGTCTCTGCAGTATGGGACACTGTTCCGTGGAAGATCTGTCTGTGCCAAGCAGTTATCACTCGTTAAGAAGGTATTTGAAATACGAATCTGTTCAGAATCCTGTACTGGGATTACCAGTTGGTGTGAGGTGGGGTTTTTTGGTTGGTTGGTTGGTTTTTTTACTATAAAATTTTCCTTTGTGGGACTTTGTATAAACGTGGCACTGAGTAGTGTGTCGTTCTGAAGAAAGCAGGCTTTCTGGCTGCTGATACAGTCTTGCATTACTTACCTGAAAATTTGGTCTCTGCTACACAACACATTTGAATGATGCTGCCAGCTGGATGTAGCCAGGATTATAGCCTGTGAAGGTGGAAGCTTCTTCTGTTACGTAGGGTCCAGCTTTTGTGAAGAGGCTTGCTCTTTCCTTACGCTGTTTGATGGACAAAATGGTTCGTACCTTTTCTTCGAAGGACTGTCTTTGGAGCAAATTATTCCAAGTGCATTTTTATCTTGTAAGTTCTTGCAAGAACAGTGCATGTGTGACTGTATACCAATAGGTATTTAACTTCTTTTAGTACCAGCAGATGGAAAATGAGAACAGATGAACACCAGGTTAAGTGGTGTTCCGTGAACCTTCCTGTGATCTGAAGTCTGCGGGTTCTTTCAGTTTTTCTTGCTGATTTTGCAGATTACACTTTTTCAGTCTCAAAGTTTTGGGGTCTGACTTAAACAAGAAGTGTCCTGGTTTCTTAAAAGACTCAATTACACTTTAATTGATAAGAAGTTCTGAGCGCTGATGCTTGTGAAAATTAAGTCAAGCATGCAGTGGTTGAACCTTTCAGATACAAGGAGATCGCTGAATGAAACATGAAGATTTAGATCTGCTTCACATACATAATTTACTGTTTTTTCAATTGATATGTGTCGTTTTTTAAGCTTTCCTATAAATGTCCCTTTCAAAAACATTTAGTTATTGCACCTCATATAAAGATATTTGCCCTTGGCTTATGGTCATCCAGCAATCCCTTCCATGACTGCTGTGTTGGTGTGTCAAAAACACAGTTGTTAGAATGGTGTCTGGAATACAATGATAAATTAAAGATATGCAAACTAATTTTCAACTTTTTTCCAATTGTAGAGATTTGGGAACTAGAAGGATTCAGATCATGTTGTTGAGATCTTTACTTATGGTAAGCCTTCTGTGTTCGGTATATTGTGTTATAACCACACAATATTTAACTTTATGTATACTTTTATACATACAAGTACAGTACTACAACTCTGTATTAGGAAGTTAAACGTACCGTCATACTACATACATCTGTAGTTCTACTGGGTAAAATTTCACCAACATTTTCCCAACTTACATTACAAGCAGCTCAAGAAATATTCCTCCACCTCTTGGAGCACTTTAGAGAGTATCAGTTATAATTGGATGTGAAGATCCAAAAGAACATCGTAGAGTAGGTTGTGTTGACTAGTTCTGCCAGCAATGCTGGCAACATCGAAGTGAAATCACTTTTGTCTCTGACACCAGAAAAGCTGTAATTAGTAGAAGGGCTAATATATTTAAAACCGTAGGAATGGAAGCCTATCTCCAAGCCCTTAGAATCTCAGGCACATTATTCTTTCCTTCCTGGTATTTCCCCAGTTTCTTTTAAGGTATGATTAAATCTATCACAGATACGTTTTTCAGCTGTAAACCTTCAAAGGGTATTTCTGGAAATACACCCTGCGGTAAGAATCAGAAGTGGGTAGTAAAGGAGGCTCTTGCTGTAGAGTCCTGGTCTATAGTGTTGCAGAAGCTGAAAACAGTTTAGTGACTGAAGTAGGGGAAATAGCATAAAGAGTGATTTCATGACGAAAGCAAAAGAATGCCTTCCTGGAAAATTAGTTTCTGTCCCTGCTTTGACATGGAATTTGTGTGTGGTGTTAGGCAGATCGGTTAAACCATTCTTTGCTTGTCAGAATATGAAATCCTAGATTCTGGCTTGCAGAATTGCTGAGCATTCCCAGTTGCAATTGAAGGATAGAAAGTATGTTAGAAGGGACCTCAGGGTGTCATTTTGCGCATTGTCTTCATTAAAGGTAGACTCAGCTATGCCTAAACTGTTCCTAGCAATATTCATCTCACCAGTCTTAATTTTCATTCAAGTCAGTAAGAGTTGTTCTAATTATTTGTAAGGAGCCTGTAAGTATGCTTTAAGGGCTATTCAAATTGTGCATGTGGAAGGAATTTTAACGTTTTTGACACTGAATTTTGGTTTGTATCCTCTTTTGGAATGTGGTAGTAAAGTCCCATCAGGGCACAAAGATGTGAAAGTGAATGTTTTGATGCTTAATGAATTACTCAGACATTGATAAATACTGTGGAAAAAATGTGGGAAGGAATTCGTGTTCAGAGTAAAGCTTTTGTTACGGTGTATAAAGTTTTGTCTGCACACCTAATAAACTAGAAACTACTGAACCCTGCCTGTTCTGTGTACTGAACTGAGCGTTGTACATCATGTATTCTTTACAAAAGAGTAATACTTCATAACATAATTGGTCTGTAGTCATGCATACACACAGGCAGGCAACTTAATGTTGTATAGGCAATTAAAATCTGACGCTTCATTAAAAGTATGCACTCTTATTTGCAGTCTTACTGCTTGTAATATTAGTAATTTTCCATTTTCAAAATGATTGATTAGATGCCGTCGTGTAACCTCATGCTCCTCTGCCAACCGGTTTCCTTTCAACCTGTTCAGTTACGCTGTAGGAACAGTGCTTGCTTACATGGTGCGGTTTAACCCCAGCAGGCAGCAAAGCACCACCAGGCACTTGCTCGCTCTTCCCCAGTTGGATGGGGGAGAGAATTGGAAAGGTACAAGTGAGAAAAGTGGGTTGAGATGAAGACGGTTTAGTAAGTGAAAAAACGAAACGAAGAAAAACCAAAGAAAGAAAAAGAAAAGCAAGTGCTAAAAAAATATAAACCAAAACCAAGCAAAAACCCCACCCAAACCATAAAAACCCCCACCCAAAACCCAGTCGGTCACCACCAGACAACTGATACCCAGCCAGTCCCTGAGCAGTGGCAGCCCTTGCAAACTGTCCCCTGTTTTGTTGCTGAGCGTGACATCATACGGTGTGGGACAACCCTTTGGTCAGCTGGGGTCAGCTGTCCCGGCTGTGTCCCCTCCCAGCTCCTTGGGCACCCCCAGTCCGCTCGTTGGTGGGGTGCTGCGAGAGGGAGGCAGAAAAGGCCTTGGCGCCGTGTAAGGGCGGCTCAGCAGTAACGAGAGCATCCCTGAGGTACCCACGCTGGTTTGGTCACGCATCCGTGGCACAGGAGCGTACCTGCTACTATGGAGAAAATTAACTATCCCAGCCAAAACCAGTGCAGCACAGTTTGCACATAAAAGCTGTGATGGTATGGAACGTGCATAATGAAGATATAATTATTATGTATTCTTAGATGAAAAGAAAGATTGCTTTTATTTTAATTAATTTTGAATAATTTTGCCACCCTAGTCTTCAACAGCTTGTGCTTGTCAGTTTCTGAATCCTGTTTTGGTTTCGAGGTTGCAATATACTGGTAACCTCCGTTTTAAGGGACAGTACATTTTAAAAATTTCTGACTGCTCTAAATGTTCAGCTGGTTAATATTTAAATTGTCAGATAGAAATTAACTTTGCCTTATATACTCACAGAGCTTGCTCTAAATAAAAGTAATTGAATGAGGCAAGTCAGAGGTAGTATTAGTTTTAAAAAAGGAAAAAACACCACCGTGGTACTGGATTTCTAAGAAAGTGATGTTTGCTGTTTGCTTTCTTTTTTGCAATAAAGTAGAATCCATACATGTTTAAGATGTATGTATAGGCCCCGATTTCTCTTTTTCTTCACATGAGCATACTCAGTACCACATAGGAGCAGCTCATCGTCTGAAATGGGAAAAATCTCTGTTGGAATTATTACCATCTTCATTTTCTGCCCTTTTTCAAGAAAAATTCCTAAGTGGTACCTTTATTTTTTGGTGGGAAGTATGTTGGTAGAGGAAGGATCTTGAGAAATACCGCTTTAAAACAGATGAGGGAGTTCATTTGAACATGAGTATTAAAGTCCTTCCAAATTCGTAGTGAGGTTAGGAGTTCTCAGCACTACCACAATACTTCAATTTGAATCCACCTTTCAGATGCCAAGGCAAGTCTGATAAGAAGTGAGTGACATCTGCAAGTAATTCTTACAGTGCAATAATGACACACATTAATTTTACTCCCTACAATGAACAGGTGACTTCAGGATACAAAGCCACAACGATAACCAACGCACTTCCTCCCCCCTTCCTGGACCCGTTGTTGTCTCCTTCACTCATGGAAGACTCCGAGTTAAGGCAGCTGGTCTTGGAAATACTGCATAATCTCATTGATCGGCATGACAACAGAGCAAAGCTCCGAGGGATACGGTACTTCTTCTTGTTTGCTTTGGCCTACTTGAAATTCTAATTTAGTATCTGAATTATAAGAGCTGTTGACTTTTAAATATCTTTGCCAATATGAAATGTTAATGTGCTGGTTTGATACGTGCACTGGGCTCAGTGTTGTTTACTGATGGCAAGAATTTGACAGGTAAGCCTCAGTGCCTGATGCCTTAAATGACCATTCCAAATGGAATTTCACTGTGGGAAGTTTCACTGTGGAAGACAGAATATGGTATTTTATGTAGAGGAAGAAAATACGTGGTTGTTACAGTTCTGTTTTGGTTCTCTCTCTTCGACTGAAATTTGAATGCCATTGTTAAGCGTGGATGTGTTTAAAATGGAAATTGCTTCAAGATTTGTTTGAATAGTTCGTGTATTTTGCATCCTCTTCCCTTTCAGCTTCTTCTTGCTAAAATGACATTTTTTGTTTCCTTCGTAGGATAATACCAGATGTTTCTGATCTAAAGATAAAACGAGACAAAATTTCGAGGCAAGACGTGAGCTTCATGAAAAAGGTAATGGAATGAAAAAGTTAACTTCTTTATCTATGAAGAAGATGAAATAACTGAAGCAGTTGCTTCGCTTTTCTTCTGCAACTGTGTTTTTGCAATGAGTTGCGAAGATCCGTACCAAGTGGTTTTAACTCAAGTTACGGTGATTTCAGTATTGAGGTGCTCTAGGTACTTAAGAGGTGATTCCATGGAATCAAATTTTAATTTGTCTTCAGTGAAAACCCTTGCGTGCATGAAGTTAAAACAGTGTATGTGTCTAAACCACAGTTCTGAAAAGGCCTCCCTGTAGCTAGATCCCTGTGCAGTATTTCATTTATGCTCAGTAGTAGGTTTTCATCTGGATGGCTTTTAGCTTGTTCTATTTTCAGGTAATTTTTTATTTAATATCTTTTTTAAAAGCCTTGACACAGGGACTTGTGTCTTACGTTTTAGGTAAAGATGTCCAAGAAAGTTAACTTTGAAGGAAAAATGCACTGCCTTACAAGACAGTTACTACAGGCCATGGTGCCAGTTGACTTCTGAGTATGTTTGGTTCTAAAAAGAAACAGATTATTCTATTTTTTTTTTTAGATGATGCTTGTGTGGAGTGAAATTACTTCTTCACAATAAATACCTTATATTCTATGTGAGAAAAATGCAGTTAGTTCTTAGTATGCTCTGTCATTCCTGACTATGGTTTCTGTGTAGGTGTGTTTGTAAATAAAATCCTACAAATTACTGAAGTAATCTCAAGCAGGCTTTAGGACGTTTGTCACTGTTACTGGCCTGACAAAATACATTAATTTCTCACAGCTATCCCATGCCGCTTTGGTTTTGTTTCCTATTAGCTGTGCGATGAAAAATGCGTGTCCTCAGAGTGTTGGCTTAGTTTAATATTCTTACTATAAAAATCAGGAGAATTACAGTTTAACTTGTCCAGGGACAAAAATACTACATATATAATAATATGCCGACTGGAGTTGTGCAGCTTTCATGTAACATTGCGAGACAAATGTTCTTGCTAAGTTGGTGCAGTTGATGTTCGGTACGGTATATGTACACCCGTTTTGATTAATACTGGAATAACGCAAATCTAAAGAATACTTCAACATTGGCAATTATTAGTAATGTATCTTTGTAAAAAATGAAGTAAATTTTAAATAAGGAATTGAATTTCTAGGATTTAAAAGTTTTGGATAAGTTGTGTTTACTGATTTTGCTAGATTAAAATTTTAACCATCAGACTAAATACTTGAATTTTTTACACGCTCATCTGAAAATGAAGGCAAAAAAGGAAGAGAGACGGTCTTCCCAAAAAAATGTGTTAACCCTGAGGAGTCATTAGCTGTGTGATACTGTTCCAGGTGCATATCCTAACCCCAGTGTTACTCCGCTAGTGTAGATGTGTACGTTACAGCCTGCTCTTCTGAGATCCCTTGCATAATCACAGGAAAGGGGTGAAGCACCTCTGGAAGTCCATTAAGATCTGAATGACCATCGAGGCTTGTTTGATGTTAGATGGGGATCCCAAGGCAATTGTGTATCATAGGTGGAATTATACCAGACATAGGCACAAACCTATTTGCATCTCAGTCCGCTGTCTCGAAGCTGGGAGGTTTATTTCTATCCTTTCTTTGAAGAGAAATATTGAACTTCCTGCATTTTGCAGTCTTCTAGAAAGATTGTAAGTGTTGAGAAAATCCCCATATCTTATTTTCATATCTAAGTGCAATTCTTCATCAGTGGGATGAGTCGTTTCATTACTTTTATTTTCCAAATATGCTGTGTCTTTAAACAGCTGACCTTTACTGTACTTATTTCATAATAGCTTCTGTTTTTTGCTGATAGCACCGTTTCCCTCTTTTCTAAATAAAACATGTATTTGAACAACTATATATTTGATTTTAGAAGTAATAAAAAGACCAACAACATCATTATTATTTCTTAAATTAATATGTCCCGCTTGAAAAACAGATGTTAAAAAAGAGTTGTCTTTCTCCTTCTAAAGCTGAACTAGTATGCCCAGAAGTAACGTGTCAGTCCCCCAGAAGTAACGTGTCAGTCCTTAGATCTTAGAAGTTAACTGATAGAGACCTGTATCCTCTACAGATTGAGAATGCTGAGGTGGTACTGAGTTGTGTGTTACATGCAAAACCTGCTTCTTACCCTGCCTTTCTGTGTTTTCATTTTTTGTGTGTTGAGATAATGGTTTCTTTACAAAGATTTGGTCAAGCACAATGTTATGAGGAAAGGAACGTCACTTTTGAAGTTGAGGATCTTTCATTAGGTAACCGATGATGTTCTTCACTAGAGCTAGAGCCTCCCTCTGCGCATTGGTCAATGAGCCCTACTTATCTTCTGAAACACCCTCTAGAAGAATTTTTTCTCAGTTTGCTGTTCAAGGAGACTCGCTTAGTGAAGAAATTTGATGTCTTCACAAGGATAACCTCTGAAGCTCCTCAGTTTTTTGAAAGTTCTTGGGAATGTTTCAAGATCTGCTTTTTGTTTTCTGCTTTTCATAAATGGGCAGGTTTTTTCCTGACTATTTCAGTAGGAAATGAATGCCAGTGCCTGGCACACAATGAAGTATTCACGTGCAATTCTCTGAATCATCGTGCTTATCTATACATCTCTACATAAAATAGAACAGTACTGTATTATAAAGAAGCTGTTGCTATAAATTACTGGACTTCTTGATTAATCATGTACTTGTTTGTGTATGTACGTGGATATATGTATTTTGGGCTTCTTTATTGTTTTCATTCTCTGTCTAAAATTATCCAGCATCAAAGTTGGCCCTGCTTGGAGTGGGGAGTTGTACTAGAGGACCTTTAAATATCCTTTCTAACATGAATTATTCTGTGATTTTAATACTCGTTTTCCCTTTTTTTTGTTTTTTATAGCACGGTCAGCAGTTGTACAGACACATTTACTTAGGCTGTAAAGAAGAAGACAATGTCCAAAAAAACTTTGAGCTACTGTTTACATCTCTAGCTCTTACCACAATTGAACTAGCCAATGAAGAAGTGGTTATTGACCTCATTCGATTAGCTATTGCTTTGCAGGTATGAGTCTGAATCAGTGTTGCGTTCATTGATTGACAACTTCTATTTGTAACTGGAAATGTGGATAACTTTTTTTGTTTGCCTGTTGATCTTCAAATTGGAAATCGCATCATTCAGTCCAAATTTGATCGATCCATTAAGGAGGTCCACTTTGTACCTCCCAATCACTAACAGGGAAGCTTCAACTAATCGGATTTGTTACAAACTTCTGCAGCATGCTCTCTTCAGGAAATACAGCTGATGTGGAAATCCGTTGGAACATTCCCTGGAACCGCTGATCCATTCATTAGCAGATGGACAGGGTGTTCTTACAACCTGTGATCTTGCATCAGTGTTACATATAAAATATATTGGCTGTCCTCACCTTGGAAGAAAGCTTTTGTTTAAGTGGTTGTTTGGAAATATTTGTCAAACCAGACTATTTAATCTTTAGAGTAAAACTCTTACCGGTGTTTTGACAGACTTTATTCCTTATTATTTCCTTTACAGGATCAAACATTATTTCATACTTGCATCCAGTCTTCAGTGAAACTCTCTAACTTAGTAGGTTTGTCTGTGTTGAAATTAAAGCATTCAAAAAAAGTAGTGCTAGTACGTGCCATGGAAATTTGATGACATTGTGTCCTGTATTCCCAGCTCACTCTCTGTCATTAGCCTTGTTCCCTAGTGTGCACCTACATTATAAAAACTCTGAAATGCAGAGTGCATCCTTCGTTTTAAAATATGTCGCTGAACCAAATCCTTACTTGATGAAAATTACATTAGGAGTTTTACTAGAGCAAAAATAATACATTCTGAAGAAATATATAAATGCTAATAAGCATGAAATAATTCCTTTATGGTACTGTATCTGTGATACACAAGAGTGAATTTTATTATTAAATTGTTGTTTCTGATTTTCCTGAAAAAAGTTACGATCAGCAGGTGGTAAGGACGAGAGACTTCCCAGTCATTAACCTGTACTTTTTTTCTGAGAAACAGAAGTTTGAGTTGAGTAGATCTATTTTTCTTCTCTTCTTGAATCCTTCAAGCTCTCAAACTTCAGATCAATATATACCTAATACATACCTAATGCAGGAGAGAGCTAAAAGACTAGGGTTTTAAGATGAGAGAGATTAAATGCTGAGTAATACCAGATAGTCATCATATGTCAGCTAGTGTTACTACTAATAATTTTGACTTCCATATACTCGGGACAGCCTGTTAACTTTGGAAAGTATATTGCTATCCTTTATATTTCAGGACATTGCCATAATCAATGAGGATAATCTACCCATGTTTAATCGTTGTGGTGTCATGGCATTGGTTGCAGCGTATCTAAACTTTCTGAGTCAGATGATTGCAGTTCCTGCCTTTTGTCAGCATGTCAGCAAGGTAAGACATGAGGGATTTATGTCATTTAGAACAGTACACGTTCTACTGCAAAATGAGTAAATGACTTCTGTAAAGTAATTGCTTGTGGTGTCGATCTCCTGTATTTGTGTCCACCAACATTGCTCTTTGGTCTCTGATGGCACGCGTTAATTGCTGACTCTTAAAATTATGCAGGGAATATTCGTCTCTCAAGGTATAACATTTTTACTTTGTTTATGGAACCATATATAATGGGCTAAATCCCCATCTGGTATAAGACTTTACAACTCGCTGGCTTTGGTAAAACAGTACTGACATGCACAAGAAAGCAACTTCGTCATTGGAGAAAATAGCTATGGAACTACTCTGTTTGTACTATTTGTCTTGGTTTTTTTTTCAGGTCATTGAAACTAGAAGTCTGGAAGCATCTTACTTTCTGCCAGAAACAATTTTCAAAGACAAATGCAAGTAAGTAGATACAGTAGGTGAATTAATGAACATTGAAGCACCTATTTTACTGTTAAAAATTGCCCATCATTGAAATATGTTGCATATGTGAAAAATGATTTAGATGTTTAATAGTGTCCAGGATAGGCAGAAGAAAACCAAGCATTAAAAGCATATGTGGAAAAAAATGTGGTTTTCAGACTTTTTTTAACGTAGTCAGAGGTATTAATAACTGCACAATTTGATGCTTGGTGTAAGTGCTAACACGGCAAAGTGCATTTTCACTGGATCACAGCATGGCTGAGGTTGAAAGGGACCTCTGGAGATCACCTGGTCCAACGCCCCCCTCCTGCTCAGGCAGGGTCACCTAGAGCAGGCTGTCCAGGATCACATCCAGATAGCTCTGGAATATCTCCAGGGATGGAGCTCCACAACCTCTCTGGGCCACCCTGTGCCAGTGCTTGGTCACCCTTACAGTAAAAAGGGTTTGCTGACGTTCAAAGGGAACCTCCTGTGTGTCACTTTGTGCCCATGGCCGCTGGTCCTGTCACTGGGCACCACTGAAAAGAGCCTGGCTCTGTTGTCTTTCCACCATCCCTCCCTTAAGGTAGTTGTACGTTGTGCGTTGATAAGATCCACCTTCTTTTCTCCGTGCTGAATAGTCCCAGCTCTGTCAGTGTTTTCTTCATTGGAGAGATGCTCCAGTCCCTTAATCCACATTAGTGGCCCTTTGTTGGACTCTCCAAAGTAAGTCCGTGTCTCTCCTGTCCTGAGGAGCCCAGCACTTGACACAGCACTCCAGGTGGGGCCTTGCCAGTGCCAGAGAAGGATCTCCTCCCTCGACCTGCTGGCAACACTACTCCTAATGCAGCCCAGGATACCCTTAGCCTTTTTTGTGCAAGAGCACATTGCTGGCAAATGGCAAATACTATTGCTCTGCAGTTGTTTCTATTTAACAGAGACCATATTCTCTCAAGACGTAGCAAGAATAGGTGAGGAACATATTTCAGATAACCAAGAATTGTTAAGGTAAGTTAGTATATTGCAGTTATTCAATGGACAAATTATGGGATCTATATTAATTCCTAAAAAACTCAGTGAGTTTGATTTCTATCAAGTCATTATCACTGACCCTTTTTGGTTGCTTGCAGACATTGGAAAAGTATTTTATTTCTTGAACAAATCCACATTGGTAGATAATAACTTCAGTTATATATTTTGACAGTCTTCCAAAGTCCTTAGAGAAGCATGAAAAAAATTTATTTTTCCTGACAAACAAGATTGCAGAATCCTTAGGAGGCAGTGGATACAGTGTGGAAAGATTGTCAGTTCCATATGTACCCCAGGTAACAGGTAAGTGGTGACTAGTGACAAAAAAGTACCAGTTATTAAGAATGCTTTCTTAATGTCTTGTGTGCCAATGAAATGTAGTGTGAGTCCTTGGCAACAAAACTCAATCATGGTATAATTTTGTGATGGTTTTGGTTGTTTTGTTTTTTTTTTTCTCATTAGCTGCTGTATTATTGCTGAGAGTTTTCAACTTTGTGTCCTTTTAACATTATTTTTTCTTCCTTAAATTCAGGAGGTGGGGCAGAAAGTTCTTGAACCCACTTTGACTCTTTTTAATGAAGTCTTTGCTTTTGAAAGAATACCTAAGAAGATAGTAGTGACTATTACTGTGTTTCTGTATTAACTTGAGTTAGCAGGTGAGGAAGGGTTATACAAGTCAGCGTAGTTTATGCTTTTTATGTAAACAGTGGATGGAATGTATTCCATCCCTTTGCCATATGGCCTTGTGCTGGCTTGAGTTATTGACCGTAGTCAAATTCTCAATGAGCAGATGTTAATTTAATCAAGAACGTTATGTTTTCCTCCATGAGATACCTGTGCTGGCTTGGTGTCAGATAACACAATGAAAATAAAGTATGCCTGAGGAAGATTTGGAAGAGTTCATGCTACCCGGGATGCTTGTTATCTCATAATGCTAGAATGTAGTGTTTCAAAATATATCATTAATTTTAGTAAAAGATGGATCCATTTTTTGTATATTCCTGTGAAAGTTATGGTTAAACCCAAAAAGCCAGTGAAGATTTTTTCCTAATTATTTCTAATATTTCTGAATATCAATGATATAATGCTTAACAATGACTTATAGACATAAAATCACCATTCTGTCTTTAAGATGTTGGTACTTCTTACCAGTTTGAAAGACATTCGTATTTGTAACTTTTTGTACCTTGTTCTCTTCCTTATTTGGGGGAGGTAGCAAGCTGATAATCTAAATGTACATTTAATCATTTTTTTGTCTATACATATATAATTTTTTTTTAATTTAGCTCTATTTCCATCAGGCAAAAAACCTCATAAATGCAGACACAAGTCAAAAGGTAAAAATGAGTTGTAGGTCAGCCTGCTGTCCTGCTAGCTGTGGTGTATCTGCGTAGGATGTGCACAGTCAAAAAAAATAGTCTTTTAGAAGGCCTTTTAGACCTTTAAGCCAGAAATTGTGTCGTACGTAGTGTTTCCTTCCGCCTTTGTTTGTTTGTTTGTTTATTTCCTTGATATACCTGTAGCAGTGTTAGCTGCTGCAAGGTTTGCCTTTGTGTTTACTCTTGACTTGGAACTCCACAATATGGTAGCTTCCTATTTCCTTACTCTGAGCAGGTGGTAGGCCTAAAGGTATCATTTTGGTGATAGTACTAATTACCTCTTTGAGTCACATTACAAGAACACGTTGTTCTTCCCAGGAAAGTTGAAAGAAGCTCTCAGCTGTTCACAGAACGATGATTCATGTCACTCTCCGGCTGTTCAGGATAAAGGTCCACTAGTGGGACATGTATATGTGCATATGTTCCGTGTGCATCCCACCAGTTAGCTGGGCTTAGACCCTGTCCTACCCACCAGCTGTCTCCTGCTTCCCAGGGTCCCCAGTCAGTGGCACCTGAGCGTGTGAATCCCCAGAGCCCACCGCTCCAGTCCAGCTGCTGGTACGGGTGCGTGTACACACGCGTCTCAGTCAACCCCCCCCGCGGGCTCCGTGGTCTTTCTGACAGCGGGCCTGGGCCTCCTGCTCCCTCCAGCTGCCTCCCCCCCCAGAGACACGCAGACACAGAGGGACACCCCCTGCTCGCAGGCCACTCAACCCACTCGCCTGCTGGTCCAGCTTGATACTCCCTTGCGAGCGTGCGCTGGGGCCGTGCACCTTCGCGCTCTCGAGGCACGCCGGCGGTCTGACTCCGGTTGCTGCGCTCAGCCCCCGTGCACGCACCGGCCCAAAGAACACAGTCCCTCACCCAGGAAAAGAGAAATGGGATTTAATCAGGCGATGGGACAGGCTGCACCGATGAGGCTCAGGGCATGGCCGGACGCACGTACTGACACTTCTATTCTCTTATCCCTTTATTTCCCTTCTTGCTCCTTCAAACCGTGTCAGTCCTCCTTTCCCCCCCCCCCCAAAACCCCAAACATCCCATCCTAAGCCTTGTGCGATCCCAAAGTGCTGTTCCCCTGCATCCCGCAACATGTCCCGTACCCCAGTCACTGATCCCGCCTCGGTCATGAGATGACAGAGAGCTGCTTGTGGTGCCCCATGGGTTTGGTGCCACCCCCGGGCCATGAGGAAGGCCCTGGCAGGGGCCAGGGCAGTGGGTACTGGAGCGCCACCACTGCCCTCGTGCCTCTGGGCTGCTTCGTGTAAGTGGAGACGAGCTTTGTATCATAGAACAGAAAAAAAATGTGATTTTCACAGTTTTCTCCCTACTTAATATGTTGAAATTAGAGATGAATGAGCAGTTTTATCAGGCCAGTATAGTGAGGCAACCCTTACAAAATCCAAAATAGTCCCAAAATAGTCCCAAAAGTGTATCTTCTGGTGCTTGCCTGTCAATTAGAGAGAGAACAGCAAGATGGCAGCAAAGATGTAGTTTTGTCTTCTGTTTACTCTTGAGGGCTAAGGTGATTTCCTCAGAATCCATATGTATTTGGTCTTGTACCAGTGAGCCGTCAGGGATTAAAAATTAAATAAATCCTTCAAAATGCCACTTCAGATGCTCGGGGTCTCTGAGAAGCTTGCAAAGACAGCTAGAAGTCAGGTGTTTTTCACTAATCTTGTTCTTTCACTGCCTCTTGCTCTTAAAATGGCATTTCATTTATATGACTTCTGAAAGTTATTTCCTGATTTTTGAAAGCTGAGTATGTTCCGCTCTGCTGGAATGAGTCCTGTTTGTTCATGCTCAGCATTTGCCCCGCAAAAGCGCTTTGCCAGAGGGGGTTTAAACAAAGGTTGTGGAAGAACCAGCATAACTTACCTTGTGGTGGGGGAGTTTTACAATTGTTCTTCTTATCTTAGTATCAAGTGCCTGTAGGTTCTTCTAACTGTGTGCAGTGCCAGTCAACAAATAGTAATGGCCGGGTCTTGGCTAAAATGTAAAATGTAACATCACAATTCATGGTTTTGTAAATGAGATACATGAGAGTCGGGCCACTCAAGTCTCCGTTGGTCAGACAATCCTCAGGACACATCTGTAAATCTCTTTTTTTACTGTTTTTTTAAATCCCACGTTAATATGTTAAATGTCAAAAATGAGGAAAGATTATTGGTGTATTGTCTCAGGAAGGCAGTCACAAAAGGAAAATCCACCACCTGGTGGATCATTCGATCATAATCGGCTTATGCATTAATGAAATTGCTGTGCTCCTTGTATCAACGCAGTTGATCTCATTCTGACCACTTTTTAGGCCAGCTGGACTTGCTGACATGTTTGTAGGAAGTTAGAAATGGAAAGAATATTTTTCGCCAAGTAGATTTTTAGACTCACTGAATGTGGTACTTGTAGCAACAAGAATAAGGAGGAATTGTTGTTCATTTCTGTTCAGAATTCTTTATTTGTTCTGTCAGTGAGTCATGTTCCAAGAAGCCCTTTTCTGTTTCAGAATACCTTCAGATTAGGACCTTAGTATTTCAATTTCACAATCGAAAAAAATAAGTTCAGGCTTTTTTAAATTACTCTGCGGCAATATATCATCATATGCTACTTATTATACATTTCAATCAGATCTCATTTCATTTTTTTAATTTCTGGGTTTCAAGGAAAAGTTGGCAAGCACTGGGATGAGAGGGGGAAGGGACCACAAAAAGGTAGTTTCCCTTCATATTTAATAATTTAGAGCAGTAACTGATCATTTTTCACAACAATCCAAATGATAAAATATATGATCTTGGGTTAAACAGGCAAATAGAAACAAATCGGCATCTGATGTGTAGAAATTTGATTGATCGTATTTCAACTGTTATACAAAAAGTGAGAAGTTGTTTTTCTTCTAGATGAGGACAGACTCTCCAGGAGGAAGAGCATTGTGGACACAGTATCTATTCAGGTGGATATTCTGCCTGGCAACAACATAGAGGATAAGGTATGAAAACACTGGGATACTTTAAAGCAGCATCTTCATGGGGGGTGAATGCAAATAAAGATTGCCCCGAAATTCTGATATCTAATTGTTCTAGCAACGTTAAATGCTTTGAGGTTTTGATTTTTTTTAACTCCTGTGTTTATAGAGATGGGTTGTGAAAGACACCGATACTGGTCTTGCTCTATAAATAAAGTGTAACGTATTTTGTCACTATGGTTTTTACAGATAGTAACTACAGAATATGGGGCGGCAATACATATATATGCCAAACAACTAATGAGTAAATACTCTAAAATATTTTCTTTGCGTTTTGAGGTATCAAATAAATTCCTGCATCATTTGAAGTATCTAGAGAGTCTTGTTCATCACCATGGGACTGGCAGATGTAAGACTAGTGGGAGACCTGCTGTCTTTGAGAGGGGCAAGTAAAGACTAGGCAGGCTGCATACGCCACGGTGTTAGGCATCACTTCTCCCTTCCAGAAGAGTTTAGCACACAGCACTTTGAAGGTCATGGGAAGGATAAGGTAGCAACAAAAAGTTCATAGGGTGCAGGAGCTGATGCTAATTATCCCTTAGGAAGACTGCATTATAATTAAAACTATCCTACATCTTTTGACACTTCCTTTGAAGTCGTTCTTAAAATAAATTTCTGTTTCTACGGCATTTTTTTCAAGGCTCTGCTGGCTGTGATGGAGATTAGCTGTTGAAATTGAGGTGTTTGTACCTGCAAATGAATCCTGCCTTTAGCATCTTCAAGCACAAACGGGCTAGGGACGCGAAACAGAATGTGTAGACAGAGTCAAGCTGAATGTTAGTTAAAAATGCAGTATTAAGCTATTGCAAAGGAGCAAGCTTCAATTTAGAACTTACTGAGAGAAGGGGATTATGATTTGCATCATTATTATTATTCCTTTCTGCTCTGTGCTGATGATACCTCAGGTGATATTTTGTGTTCACTTCTTGCTCTCGTGCTTTAGCAAGGGTACAAATAAACTAGGTAAAAGTTGAGGAGAAAGAAGACAAAAAGCGTTTGAAAAATACGCCAGATTTTCACAATCTTTTACCTTTCTGAAGACAGTAAATGCTCGTAGTAGGAATGGGGATATTTGCCATTAATATCCTGAAAGTAGAGTTAAGTGAGAGTTTCCATTTCAGATTGCAAATGATTATGCTGACGCTACGTTAAGCATTGATACGGAGACATTTTTTGAAGAGGATATAGCAGTTGTAGATACGTCAAAATGTTTGTCTGGGTTCCCAGTTTAACGTGGTACAGTGTCTTGGATAATGAATTACTGTTTGTCTCTCTTGAAAACAAGGATTTTATTCATCGGAAACCTATGAAACAAAGTAGTCCTCCTTTAGTTGCTTCACAATTTCTCTTTGCAATGCAAAGGGAAAACCAGTATTTTCTGATTTGGTGACTGCACCTTGATACCTATATAGCAAACAGCCGAAAAACTGGTAGAGAGACCAGAATGAACTTCTCAGTCATGGTGAGGCTCCAGTATTAGCGCTCTTGCGATGGGTTAATCACAGAATTATTTAGGTTGGAAAAGACCCGTGAGATCATGGAGTCCAAGCATTAACCTAGCACTGCCAAGTCCACCACTCAACCGTGTCCCCCAGCGCCACGTCTGTACATCTGTTAAATACCTCCAGGGGTGGTGACTTCCCTGGGCAGCCTGTTTCCTCAGGAATGGTGCTCGGTAATTGTTGCTAATTCTTGTTCCCTATAATGAATGTTTTTCGCCACCTGCAACATAAGGTGACGCGCTGGATGTAACTCAAGAGGAGGGAAAAAAGAAAAAAGCCCACAAGGATACAAAAATCTGTTTTTTTTGCTGTGTAGGTTAGTAAGTATAACATAAGCCATCACTGTCAGCAGAATTAAACTGGAAAAAAAAAAGGCTTTATGATTGAGAGGATAAACTCCTTAATCAATGGAAGTTTTAGGATTAATGATGTGTGGTATCATTTCTGCACTGTGAGGTAGAACATTGTTTGTCCATAAAGTACCTATTATTCTATATAATATGAATGCAATTTTTTTTTGTCATCACAATCGAAGTTTTTTTTGTTATGGCATGTGTTCAGGAAGATGGTTTATTCCATCTTTATCTGCGTTTATAAGATGAAAGCACTTATAAAAGCAGCTAGTGCTTCTGTGATACTGATAATGCTGGCTAATATCAGCAGCTACTACAGATGTTAATTAGAAATCTGAAAGGCTGCCATAAATAAGTAGTATTTACCGAATATGAATCATATACAAGGTGATCATTTCAAAACCTGAATACTCTTTATCTCTAGCCATACCCACAAATATTTGACATAAAACATGTTTTGCTGTTTGTTTATTAACGTTTTATCTATTCAGAGGTAAAGAATACAACGCCGATGTAGTCAAATCTGTTAGAAAAGTATCATTTACAGCTCCATCTCCTGAAATGACACTGATGTAAAAGGGAAACAGCTACTTCTTCTGGCTTTTCCTTTTATAGTAGGTTAAATCAGTGAATTAAAAGATTGAAAAAATTCCGAGTCTTCTGAACTGGGGGAAATAACGTTTTGGTACCTTACAGATCTTTTCTCTTAAATCATGTTAGACCGCTTCTAACGAAAAAGTGCTGCCTGTTTGTATTAGTTTTGAAGGATTAAAGTAAGGCAGTCCAAGCCAAGAAGCCCTGTTATCTGCCATCTAAGCATTCTCCCCTAACACTATCACAGTGGTTTCGTTGTCAATATGCTTAATTGGTATAGAAGCTCTAGGTCTATAAAGGATTGAAACACAAAGATCCATGGACTGGAGCTCTTCAGAGAAACGTTCATGCATCTTTGGCAATTTTGCGGCCCCGAGCAGTTCCTAATGAAGTACATCTGCAGCAGCAAATGGGTATTCATGTTTCTTAATAAACAGATTTTCTCAGTGCATCAGACATAGCTTGTTATGAAGACCCCTTTAGCCCCAGTGTTTGACATAAGCACCAAACTATTTGGAGCCTGTACTGGTATTGCCTAAAGCAATAACCATTTCCACTCGACCCTCCACTGCCATCTCTTATTTTAGTGCCACGTTGCTGGTAACTCAGCTGGTCTCAAGAAGCAGTTGCTATTATTTGCCACAGCTGTCTGAGAACCGGTACTGAGGCGTAACAGTATAGAAACACCACAGCAGATGGCTGCCCCAAAGGCGTCTGTCAAAATTCAAGTCGTCATTTTCCAAAGTATTGTTGCCATAGAGCATCTTGACTAGAATTTGGAAAGTTTTCCTTGATCGCTGTGATTTCAGTGGCTTAAAAATGTGAATTAGTGATCTGTTGGCTGTCAGAGAAACTCCAGGGAAAGCTGTTAGAAACTTGTAAGGCAGAAGATCTCTGTGGCCATTTTGGCCTTCTGTATTTATCACATTCCTTGTTTTTTAGAAGCGTATATGTTATATGTGAGGTTTAAAGGGTTGTGTTTCTTTGTGTTTAGGTTGATAATACTGAAGAAATCACTTTCGAAGCTTTGAAGAAAGCAATTGGTAAGATGTGTTACAATTACGTTTATGCAGCATAGTTCTAGATTACTGTGGAGTTGCTAGAGAAAAAGGTGTGGCCAGAATAACATAATTAAAATATTACCTTTGTCTCTCTTCAGCTGGTAAATTTACTTACAACTTCCGTTATTTCTTTCTAAATTTCTGAAATGATATCTCGATAATTTTAGCGAGTTCCTTTCCTGGAGCTAATGTGAGTGAATGAAAAGCATCTGGAAATGCCTGTCGTGTATTAACTTGGCCAAGCTATAAATAACCTGATAGTTTCAAATCCCATTGAGTGATTATTTTCAAAGACCCACATCACCCTGACTCGGCACCCCACAGCACCCAGCACCGCAGTGTAAGCAGTGACAGGTGACAGCTCGCTTAAGTGTGGTTGCATTACTCCAAATACAGCGCTTCTGTGCTCCTGCAGTGCACGTTTGAACGTTGATATCACACTTGATAGGCAAAGATTATATTTGTTGTCTTTTTTTTTTTTAAGATAACAATGGACTTGAGGAACAGGAAAAAGAAAAAAGGCGTCTCGTGATTGAAAAGTTCCAAAAAGCACCATTTGAAGAGATCGCTGCACAATGTGAAACCAAAGTGAGTTTCTGACGAATGTTGTACGGCATTGAGGATATTAATAAAAGCATTAGTGGAGATGTGCTGGCTAAAGGTGATTTATGTTACCATGTCGCTGCTGCTGGTATTTCTGAAGAAGTTCAGTTCATTGTCTTCAGTTATTGTCTCCACTATTATCAGTCTGGGGAGATTCTGGTTATTCAAAGTGTGGTTTTGGTTGTTCTTAGACCATTTGAAAAGGAAAGGAGATCTCATGTACTCTTCATCTTAATGTTTTCCTTGCTCCCTTTGAAATCTAGATTCACAGTCCATTCTAATCTAGATTCACAGTCCTAATTCATCCTGGGATAACTGGATCAGTATTTACCCCATTATATATTTTGAATAACTAAATGTGTTTCGGGTTTGTTAAACTCCTATCTGCAACAGCAAAGTTTGCTATACAATTCCTTGCACTCCAGGACAGGCTCACTCAATCTCACATGTCTCTTCAGGGCTCAGAATCCTGGCAGCAGTGAGAAAAGAAATCAAGGCAGGACATGCTGCCTGGGTTTGCCACGTGGTGGTGTGGAACACACTCGCCAAGCGTGGCCTGACGCGTTCATTTTAGCTTGGTTCAATATCTAGTAGTTAATAATTCAATTTTCTTCTTTTTTCCTAGGCAAACTTGCTTCACGACAGACTCGCACAGATACTGGAGCTCACCATTCGGTAAGGCTTTATGCAAGAAGAATATGATGAATGAAAAATGAGTTACAAAGCGTTGGTGACTACTTTCAGATAGTCGTGTCATAGTCTTCTTAAACACATGTAATAGGCTGCAAATAATTGACTGAATGCTGTAGTTTAACCCCGGTAGGCATTTCAGCCCCACATAGCCGCTGGCTTACTCCCCCTCAGTGGGATGGGGAAGAGAATCGGAAGGGTAAAAGTGAGAAAACCCATGAGACAAGAGCAGTTTAATAGGTAAAGCAAAAGCCATGCGTGCAAGCAAAGAAAAATAAGGGATTTTATTCCTTCAAAAAAAAAAATAAGGAGGTCACTCACCACGTCCCATCATCGGGCAGGTGCTCAGCCACGTCCAGGAAAGCATCACACGTAAGAGTTACATGGGAAGATTAATGCCATAATTCCAAACGTCCTCCCCTTCCTGCTTCTTCCCTTAAAGCTTTTATTGCTGGCAGTGACGTCATATGGGATGGGGATGTCCCTTTGGTCAGTTGGGATCCGCTGTCCCGGACTGTGTCCCCTCCCAGCTTCTTGCCCAGCCCCAGCCTACCCACTGGCAGGGCAGCGTGAGAAGCAGAGAAGACCTGGACTCTGCGCGAGCGCTGCTCAGCAGTCACGAAAACGTCCCGGTGTTACCAACGCTGGTTTGGTCACAAATCCAGAACACAGCCCCGTGCAAGCGACGGTGAAGAAAATTAACTCTCTCCCAGCCAAAACCAGTACGCTGATGAAGAGTAGTCTTCATCTAAAATAGTCACTTGGATTTTCTTGTTGTTACTTTGAACCTTTTAGATAGCAGAGAGTGTCCAGAAGCTATGTCAGAGTGTACTTATATTCCTACAATATTTCTCTGTGTATCAGCAATATTGAAGAATGCTGCTGGTTTCCCGTTGCTGTACCTGTTTGAGAAAGTAATGAGACGTTGAACACCCGAAATACTACATGACATTATTATAAAGACTTGTGCAGGATAAATAGTATTTGTTAGTAATAAAATGCATTAAAATAGTACATGACATTATTATAAAGACTTGTGCAGTATAAATAGTATTTGTTAGTAATAAAATGCATTTTCATAGTTCTGTAACATCGATGAAGTTGATGATTTAGACCGCAGTACAAAAAGAAACCCAAGGATGATAATTTCGTTAGAATTTCAGGATGGTTGGGTGAGGGGGTGGATATAATTTATTTCTGTTTCTCGTCTCTTAGTGTATAAAGTTATTAAAAAAAAGAAAGCAATCCTTATAATTATAAATTATATATATTGATTGTTCTTCTCACACAGTCCTCCACCTAGCCCCTCAGGAACGATGACCATTACTGCTGGACATGCTCATTACCAGTCTGTTCCAGTCTATGAGATGAAGTTTCCAGATCTTTGTGTGTATTAAGTGTCTTCTGAAGTCTGCTGGACATTATTTAGAGTAGAGTACAATAGAAAGAACAAGATGAGTTTTCAAATTTTATTGTTTGTTTCATCTAAACTAACTTTAAAATGATGACGGACATGAGCCAAATACAGATTACTCTAGCCAAACTCATGACACTGTCTTGAGTTGTTTTCTTCTGTAATATATTTGAAGTTAGGTTTTTCATATATCAGGTTTCTTCGCTTTCATACTTGAGTACGTGTGAATTTAAAACTTGTCTTGCTGTATTTCAGTTACTTTAGGAATTTGTATGTGTGTAAATTCCTTAATTTCAGACATTGTAACTGTAAATCTGTTAAAACTTTCTTCCTGGTTGGTTTTTTTTTTACTGTTTGGTTGTGTTGTTTTTTTTTTCTCCTCTCCACCTCAATATGTGTCTAAATAGAATGCTTTTGGCTTGCTTCATCTTATTAAATGTTCCAGTGGAGCACTACCTTAGCTCCATGTTGTTCATGCTGTCATAGCGAGTCAACCTGTTTATTTTGGAATATATAGAAAACACCAAAACCTTACACGTGTTCAAGTACAGTAAATGAATTCATGGACACCTGTTAAGTATTTTTTGATGCATCACATAACATGCTTTTAAGATATATACGCCCAGTATATGTCCTGTGTTTCTTGCTAAAAGTTAACTGCTTTGCTTAAGAGGAGAAATCTCTTGAAGCACTGAATTGTGCAATATTTTTCCTATCTTAAGGTGTATGGTTTACAGACTATACTTTTGAAAATGCAGTAGTATTTTACTGTCTGCTTTAGTATAAATACACGAGAGATATATTTAGTATAGCAGAAGATAAACTGAGGGCATTTTAATTCATAAATAGAGAAATTACAAATATATTCTATGAGGTATTTCTCTGTAGTTTATTACAGCTTTTTAATGATATTTTAGAAATTGAAAGAAAACTGGATGAAACCATTTAAAGGCCAAGAATTTATTAATATGTTTTCAAGCAAAAGCATTTTTAGAGATGCATCACTGTGTTCATTTTTGTTTCATTTCTCAAAACTTTCTAGAAATGAGGAAAATATGGTAACTTCCATAGGTTTATGTATCTGAGTATACTATTCTAATGTAAATAAAATAAAACTGATAGAGTAAATCACCTTTTGATGGCAATTGTCAAGGCTGTCTTTACAACTCCTGGATTCTGCAGGCAAAAAGAAAAAAAAAACAGCTTTTGTTGGTGCCCTGAATAGTAGCTTTGAAGTCCCTTAATCTGTCTGAATCTGACTGAAGCAGCACAAACGTGAATGGATGTTCTCGAATGTCTATAATAAATGCAAGACATTTCTGTTAGCCAGCCGTTTGGATGAACAGTGATCAGGTCATGAACAATGGGATCTAACTTCATTTAGCCCTGCCTTGAGCAGGAGCTCGGTTTAGATGACCTTCAGAAGTCCCAACCTAAATTAATCCATGACTGCGTAATCCTAAGGTCCGAACGGTTATCGGGCCAGCTAATAGGCTGGCTGTTCTGAGCATTTGCAAACCCACTGGAAAAAGGACTTTTAAGTTTTTTGAACTGCAGTGCAGTCTTCCACAGGACCGCTTTTAAAAGCCTGACGAGACAAATATCAGCTACTTAAACCTATGAGATAACATGCTGAGACTTTCAGAAAGCATTCACAAAACTCAAAAGGTAATTGAGACCTTCTTTTCAGTTTAACAGTGCAATCACAGCTGTTAGTGGATGACGAAACAGCCCCTTATCTACAGCATTCCGTTGTGATTTTTACTGCTGCAGCGCGTATCAGCCTGATCAGACCACAGTCTACACATAAATAGGACTCTAGCTTTTAGTTTCCAATTTTTGGTTTGGTTTTGTTTTTTAAGGTAAGACGTAATAGTTTTTTGGCCTATATAAAGAGTGTAATTTTTTAAATAGTGAATCTAACCTAGGGATACGATGTAAACCACTTATCCACTCTGTCATTTATTTTTTTTTTTAAGAATAACACTGTGCACTTTTGTACAAAAAGAAAATACGGAGTCTAAGAAATAAACGATGTACTGATTGCACTTACGCAGTATGGAGACTGTGCTGTAAATACAGGATTGTTTCTGTGATTGAATTCTGTTGCATGACTGCTGCATGTGAAAATAACTAGATTCAGCATTTCGTTTTCTGTTCTGTTTATGGAGTATTTTTCATTTATGCGAATGGTAGGTTTCCAGGTTCTCAGTGTTCAAATGAGCTTTGTTTGGGAAATGCAGGTGTCGTGCAGGTGTCGTGCAGGGAGCGAAGAGCTTGAGCACACGCGCGTTCACATGATACTTAATTTCCTTCTCTCTGGAAATTCAGGGAGCGTGTAAGTTGATAATTGGTTCACTGGCCTTTCTGGGCAGCTGGGAGATGGGAGTGACTGCAAGATGTGTTGTTTTTGTAGCTGTGGTGATATGTAGCTAATGAGTGAAACCAAATGAATTAAGAATGCTGTTGTACAGTATAAAGCTGCTTTGTTTCACTTAATCTCTTTATGTTCTTGAGACAAGTTGCAGAGCTTAAAATCTCCATATGCATCCTGGTCCTGTGTTACCTGCAACGCACCGAGTGCTGTCACAACGTTTATGAATTGGTATCCAGCTGTTCAAATGTATTCCAGCTTTTGCTTTGGGTTCTCTTTCCCGTTATGTCATTGGAAAAATTGCAGCTTTTGATAGCGAGTAACTTCAAAGTAAATGAAATCCTTGTTAATTTGAGAAGATAGAAATAGCCTGTTTTCCAAAGTCACAGTAGGGCTCATTGGTCTGTTGTTCTGATGGTCATAGATTCTGTACTGTACGTCACGAACCAGTTTCAATAAATGTAAGAACACACTGTGCAATCTATATTTAAGCAATAAAATAAACCAAAATTGAAAATTAATCTTTTCGAAGATGTTGATTAATTTTTATTGCTCACAGTTAAAATGGCAGTGACACTTTTTGGCATTTAAACTACACCTCATTTTGTACCTTTTTTTTTTTTTAAATACTATAGCATTGCAGCGTTGTTAAACTACTGCTTTTATTTAGGATTAAACCATTACTATTACTAAGACGAACGGAATTTGAGCATGCAGCAATACAGAAATCATTCCCTAATAGCAAATAAGCTTCAAGAAGATCAATAAGCTGTGCTTTTCAGGCCTGCCTCCCTGGGTAGAAAACATATGGGGTTTGTAGTATGAATTTCAAGCAATAAAGTTGTCAGTGTGTGTGCAGGTCTGTATGCAGCTCACCCACAGGCAGCATTTTTCAAACAGTGATGGCATCTAATGGGGTTGAGTATTGTACCGGTGTTTGTTACGCTCTTTTTTTGGTAGCATTCGTTTGTTTAAATGGTTTTTGTGGTGCACTCAGAGAGAAGCAGGAAGAACAATTCTTCTTTACTGTTTTGAGGAAGCTGGGACCTTCCCTAGCTCACATGAGGGATCCTAATATACAGAGGATTATATAGAGAGGGGATTATATTGTCATCTTTTTTTTCCCCCTTGCTCTCTTCCTAATTTTTGCCGGTGTTAATTAAAGCTTTGCGTGTATGTAGGAAATTTTAAAGGGTGCCTTCTTTCTAGAATCTGTGACTTATCATGGATCTCAGAACCTGCATTAACAAAAAAAGTGAAAACCCAAGAAAAACAAGTGAGACCCAATGCAGTTGCTCCCCACCCGCTGACCAATGCCCGAGCAGCGATCCGTTGCCCCCTGACTAACTCCCCCGCTTTATATACTGAGCATGAGATCCTGGGGTACAGAATGTCCCTGGGCTGGTCCGGGTCAGCTGTCCTGGCCGTGCTCCCTCCCACCTTCTTGTGCACCTCCTCGCTGGCAGAGCTTGGGAAACTGAAAAGTCCTTGGCTCAGGGTAAGCACAACGGAAACATCAGTGTGTTGTCAACATTATTTTCACGCTAAATCTGAAACACAGCACTGTACCAGCTATTAGGAGGAAAATTAACTCTATCCCAGTTCAAACCAGGACAGATGTCCTCAACTAGGTCAGGTTGCTGAGGGCCTTGAATGTTTCCAGGGATGGAGTATCTGCCACCTCTCTGGGCAACCGGTTCTAGTGTTTCATCACCCTCATTATAAGAACTTTATTCCTTATATCTAGTCTGAATCTGCCCTCTTATACTTTAAAACCATTACCCCTTGCCCCCGTTGCTACAGGCCCAACTAAAAAGTCTGTCCTGTAGAATCATTAGGTTGGAATAGACCTCTGAGATAATGCGGTCCAACCATCAACCCAACACCACCATGCCCTGAAGTGCCACATCAACATGTTTTTTGGACACTTCCAGGGACGGTGACTCCACCCCTTCCCTGGGCAGCCTGTTCCAATGTTTGACTACTCTTTCAGTAAATAAATTTTTCCTAATATCCAACCTAAACCTCCCCGGCGCAATTTGAGGCCATTTTCTCTTGTCCTATCGCTAGTTACTTGGGAGAAGAGACTGAGCCCCACCTCACTACAACCTCCTTTCAGGTAGTTGTAGAGAGTAATGAGGTGGTCTCCTCTCAGCCTCCTCTTCTTCAGGCCAAACAACCCCAGTCCCCTTGGCTGCTTCTCGGAAGGATGCCCTAAGGCCCTGAAGTCTCTTAGTTGCCCTTGGACCGCATGTTGCGGTTTCCCCACCATCCACATGGAAGAGCAGTGACAAGAAGGATGTCCCAAGGCCCTGAAGTCTCTTAATTGCCCTTGGACTGCATGTTGCGGCTTCCCCACCATCCACATGGAAGAGCAGTGACAGGTAAAAGTCCAAGGGCCGCACCAGGCTAGAAAGTCTCCTAGTGATGTCCTTAACCCAGGTCCCAGGGAGGCAGCAGACTTCCCTAAGAGAAGGGTCTCTCTGGCATATTGGACCCTCTGGTCTGCTCAGAAGGGAGTCACCTACAACTGTAACCCATCTTTTTTTCCCTATGGAGGTGGTCCTGATAGAGGTGGGTAGGCCTTTCAGACCTTAGCAACACCTCTG